TGAATATACAGCAAATCGGTAAAGCCAGCGAGCGAGCGCAGTATGTCAGGATATTCGGAGGAATTCCGTCAAATCCGGGGTTTTTTGATGCATTAAGATTGGTCAAAACTGTATGGGCATAATCTGGCGTGAAGCGTAGTAAGCGTAGTGCGGGCCTTGCGGAGTTTGTTGCGGAGGTTACGCAGCTCTGTATTCCACCAGGGTTTCCACGCCGAGTAGCCCGAGAAAGGTCTACAAAGAGGAACACACTCGTGGAAAATTGTGTGCAGTTTTTCGTAGAACTGGTTTGTAGTGACGTCAACTGAATCACCGTTCAGAACCAGGGACCAATTAACTGCTGTAAGTATGTGACCTAGGGCGGTTAGGTCACAGTTTTTAAGATCAAATACTGCTGGTGCATCATGACGATCAGGTAGATTGAAGTGCGCATCGAGGTTCAGAATGAATGGCCTGAGATGGATGTCAACATTAAGCAGTGGAACCGCTGGTTCAAGGAGATCAAAAACGTCTGGATTGGTAGTGAATGCCAAATCAAGCAGCTTTCCATTTGTGTTTACAAATGGGTTACCTAAATAAGACCATTAGCGAGCATTTCTTCGGTAAGAGCCACTTCCTGCTCCGTGGATGAGTTTGAAGGCAGATGCCCGTTCATGTCCTTGTCGAAATTCCAGAGTAAATGAGGGAGATTATAATCACCCAGCACCATGATGATATCATCGCTCAAGGACGTCTCTGTAATATTGCGTATAGCTACGGCATGTAACTTATAGAGCTCAGGACATGACAAAAGGTGAACGAAGATTCCGGAGATGAACAGTGAGCGGCTTTCCAAACTTATTCGGACAATGACCTGCTCGAGCTGGTCACAGTGAGTCACTATGAGTGTACCACCTCCCCTGGATAATTGACTGGAAGTTTCATTGGGATCGCAGCGGAATATTTGGTAGTCCGTCGAAATTTCACATTTGGATATGTCCGGTCGAAGCCAGGTTTCTGTTAAGACCACTGCATCGTAATCACTACTCGTCAGTCTCAAACGAAGTTCTTGGATCTTCGTACGTAAACCCCTAACATTTTGATAGTAGATAGAGAAAACTGAGTGCGAGAGGTTCTCCATCTCACTATCATTAACTCGTACCGAAGCAATCTCGGGTGCATTCATGGAGCGGTCCTGCGTTCGTCTGTCTGGGTTCGGCTCGGTCAATGTAGGGATGTCAGTACGCTCCAAAGTTTGGTTAACACCACTGGAATGACGACCAGTCGTCGCGCTGGAATCGGAGGGTGGATCAGACAAAATACTACTTAGAATTGCATCGTACTCGCCTTGAATGACAGGTTGGAAGACCCCTTCTCTATAAACACACACAGGGCCAGGACGACTGTTGGTCAGGACGACTGTTGGTCAGGACGACTGTTTGAACTTTATGGAACTTGAAAGTTCTGTCGGAACTTTATTTGAACTTTACAGAACTTGGAAGTGATTTTAATCGTTGAATGCGGAACTTTTGGTAACTTGGGTTTGGTCTTGAAGAATTCTTTAATCCTTTATAACGCTTGCAATGAAACTGTATTCTTTTTTTTTCAATCACAATATGTTGGGACATGGTGAAAACGGCGATTTTGTTGTTGTTTCTACACAGTAAATTTTTAGAAATAATTTTGGAAGAAACGTGTTTGAATTATTTTACTACAGTTTTCCGAGTGAACCGTATGCGTGATAATGTTTGCACCATCGTACAAATAAGGTTCCCGTTTCACCTGTGCATACAATTCCTTGGTTTTCTTTGCATGCCCGTAACCTATAGCTCATACCGTTGTAGGCTGTGTATAAAAGAAAATGATTTACTTAGTTTGACAGTTGCACCATGACGAAGTGGCAGCGTATTCGTGATATGTCCCACGCGCAAATGTCGCAAATAGACATTTCAATCGCCGTGCACGGTTAGAAAAAAGTACCCAACGGTCAGTTCACTTTTACCTACTTTTGACTAGTTTGTCTCCTTTTCGCCTTCTAATGTTGTCAAAAACGGAGGAGCAAACCCACCCAACAGGGGTAGTAAAGTGCGGGAACTCAACGTTGAGTATAATCATATTTACCTACTTTTGGGTACAACTAACTTACTATTGGGTAGAAAGCTAGTGGAAAATTCCATACGAATTGCACACAAGTAAATGAAAACTACTTTGGTCCGCTTTACCTACTTTTGGGTTCCTGCACTATAGTGCCGAGATGAGTGAAAAGAACTTACTTTTGGGTACTTTTTTCTTACCGTGTGGGAGTGTCCCAGTAGACCGTCAAAAGGGTTTTAGACCGAGAAAAGAAAGGACAACTATCCGGGAAGGTGGCCACAAATCGTCCGAGGTCAGCTCGGGTTCCGAGGGTTATCGCTGCTAACAGTGCGTTCAATAAGGAACATCGCAAAGGAACACGGGATCAGTGACTTTACGTCACGGAAGATCGTAAAGGAAGATTGCGGGGCGAAGTCGAGGGCACGGAAAAAAAACTCACATGATTACCAACCGCATCCGGGAGCTACGAGTCGAACGATGCAAGAAAATCTTGAACTTCCTTATGCGAAAAAAAATCCGGTAATCCTGTTCACCGACGAGAGCATGTTTACCGTCTATCCCGTATCAAATTCCAGAACCGACCGGTATATTAGTTCTCTTCCGGTAAAAGACGTGGCCAACGAGCACAAGAACGTGTATCCTGCTAGCGGATTGGTGGTTTCCGATGGCAAAATAATGGACCCGGTGTTCATTCCAGAAGGCGACAAGGTCAACACGGAGGTCTACATCGGGATTTTAAGTATGTTCTTCCGTGGATCAAAGAACAGTACGGTCCAAAGCCAAATGTTGCCCCAACAAGATGGGGCTCCATGCCACACCTCGAACCGCACTCAGAAGTGGTTGCAGGAACATCTTCCGTTCTGGGCGAAGGATATGTGGCCGCCATCCAGTCCCGATCTTAATCCGCTGGATTACTCAATATGGCGCGTCATGAAGGCCAAGGCCTGTTCTAAACGTCACCCGAGTACAGCAAGCCTCAGACACACATTGACCTGTACCTGGAGAGAAATGGATCCAGGCTACATTATTAGAACCTAGCGTGCATTCCGGAAGCGTGTTGAGGCCTTAATAGCAGCAAGTGGAAACTCGATCGATGATTAACATAGTTTAAGACTCTGAAAAACATCACCCCTTTGAATAAATAAAAAAGCTCGAAAACGAAATTTTCGAGAATTTATTTCAATTTTGAATGGTGCAGTGATTCACGCATACGGTAGTAGTTCTAGTATAAAGCTTGAGCGAGACATATCCTGTTACGAAGCTTCTTGAAGCTCGATTTTAAGATAGAGAAGCAGATTTATGCCTATAAAAACAGTGTCGGATCTCAAACTCTTTGCATGCCGAAAACAAATCATGAGATGATTGATCCAGAGATAAATAAAAAAAATTCTGCATTTTGTGCTGACCATAAGATTAATAAGAACATCGTAGAATACTTTGGTTAGTACGTAAAACATAAATATCTGAATCCATACTTCTCACTTCAAAGCGAGGGGGGAGAGGGCTTTCATTTGAGTACCTCATTTACTCAGAGTTGCTCAGAGTTACTCTGGTTTGCTATGGGATCTGATCTAATTTATGACGAAAACAAAATTAGTAGGGCATATAGTTTTGGAAGTTTTGGCTATTTTCTTAAATCACTCTGATGATGACTTTCTGCAGGACACTTTTCTCTTTGCAATGATAATGAAATTGACCAGGATCTTGCTACCGTAGTACTGGGCATCCAGATGCTTAGAGCAAGCGAATTGATGTTCCCTTCCGGCTACCAGCTCCGGTGGGGACATGTACTTGATGATGAGTCCTGTGAGGGTCTCGGTTGCTAGAACAAAAAATAAAAACGTACAAACTGAACCATCATACCCCCACATACGTCCCCCTAGCCCCATTTATTTTGTATCAAAAGAGCAACGTTATTGCGTGATGTTTGTTTTTCTAATAGGTTCTCCGATGAATTGAGTGTATTTTACGGCAAGATCACCGGCTGAAAAAACTAACGTTCCTTGGACAATCGTCAAAACAATCGAGATAATAAAATCGTTCATCAGAGAGCAAAATAGTTCCTCAGTTCCTCCTCCTTTACGACATCAGTGAAAAAAAATGTCAAGCGCTTAGTGTTTTCGAAAATTTTCTTGTTGTAATTTAATTGTTTCGTTTTCAACTGACAAATGCCGCTGAGGATTAGTATTGTTTTATTTATCGTTCGTGAGGTCCGTATTTTGTTAGCATGAGATATTTTAAAACCGGGTGTGTGGAATCCATCGATAAACCATTATCCGAAGGCGGATCTAGATGATCAATATGTTAATGCAAATTTAATTTTCCGTTAGATGGATTTTATAGCAAGCAAAGTTGGCTAAAATCATCTGTCGTCAAAAATGGGACGGCACTGTAGAACGTTCTTGATATCCATAGAACGAAAAGCTAGCTATTTAACTCCATCCGCTGTGTCGATGTGAGCTACCTTGCGTCTCCATTTAATACCACATTCTCCTTATTTCTTTCTATAGTTTCTCCAACTTTCTCGTCTTTTTCTTTTTAGAATTCAACCCTACGATCTTCAACGGCCGCATCGAGCTGAAAAATCGTTAATTGATTCACAAAAAAACATAAATCGACTACACGCGAAACTAGCGACCGCGTGCTTCTTCCGATTAGCATCGCTTGGCCGTCGATTTGTTTTGCTGCGCTAACCAATTGACCATGATGACGGTCGGGCTGATTAAACCGCGTCTGCGTGCCTGTGACACAGTTACTGCTGAACTTGTCTCCGCATCTTCATCAGCATCATCCAAATAACGCTCGATCGCTGCTCGCGGGGGTCAAGCTACACTTCTTTTTTTTTAGTAAACAATCAAATTCTAGGAGAATGCTTTCTTCGGCTGCCGGCCGAAGATCGGTTGGCAGTTGCTTCGCGAGCGCCGATCGACCAAGATCTCATCATCATCATCATCGGAACGAAACTGTGACGGCCACCGCGAAAAAATAGAATGCATAATTTTTGTTGAAAGCGATAAATTTTGCGCGGTATTTTTAAACCAAAGAAACAAATTAGGCGTGATTAATTGCACTGAAATTAAATGCTGCAAATTCATTGTGCGGGTGATTCAGCGTGAGAGTGTTTTATTTCAATTACCGCCGAAGGCATCAAAGGTGTAGATTATGAAGTTCGTCGGTGTTCGATGGGGGTGGTTGTTGGCGACCCTCGTCATCGTTATCGTCTGTCTGGTGCCGGTGTCCCAAGCGCTGCAGGAATCCGCGCTCGAGCAGGCACGGCTGCACCGGGAGAATCTGGTCCAGAAGTATCTGAAAAAGCTAAAGAAGGAGGAAGGAGCCATCAAGCTGGTGGGCGGTCGAGGTGATTTCGAGGGTGAGTCCGGTCATTAAGTGTGGTGTTATTTTCTCAGCAGGCATCATGTCTGATATTTGTTGGCATTTGTTCGCTCTGCTGCATATGCAGGGGAGGTCCACCTTCTGGGAAAATTTTCGCATTTCTTGGACCGAGCGAGGTGATAGAAGTAACAGCAGTCGAAACTCGTTTTCGTCGATGAAATGTCAATGGCTTTACCGCTTTGTCCGGTTCCGATTATTTCGGGTGATGTGGGGAATCAAATTCCGGATTTGCTGTCCTCTTTTTTTCCGTTAAACTGGGACATAAATTGGATACTAAAAGGGCTTTACGCTGAAAAGTAAGCCTTTTATCCTCTTTGGTTCGAAGAACCGATGAAACAGACCGGATGGATTCCTGTTAATGTGAAGATGCGTTGTGAATGTGAAAAAGGTGCAATGAGAACAGTGTTTCCGTTTATTTTCTTGATCGACCATCTGTTCGCAGGTTATCGTCAACCTTTCCTAATTTCTTCTCCAACGATGCCCTGCCAGGTGTCAAAACGTCGCTTGATTACTAATGTTGTTTCCACCATATCGTATTTATAGTGTGACCGGCAACCCGAGCAAAGTCACACTAAGTACTTCTTGTCAAATTTGTTGACCTTCTTCTTCCGGAAACATCGAGGCGGGACTTGCCGACAAAAAACTCCAGGCCGGGATCTGCTTGGCGTCCGCTTTAATGTACGTCTTGTCCATTAACACTCCGAATACGATGCCTCCAAAAAGCGTGTAACGGCGAGTTTGCAATGGCATAACTTAGCGATTTATTGAAAAATTTCAAAAATGGTGGTATCTCAAGACTTCCTAGGGTCTGTAGATTATTTTGTACGTAAAAATGTTGGAAATAGAGTCATCTACTTTTTTTAATGCGAAAAGAGTCGTTACACTTTTTTTTGTTTAAAGGTGTGTTTATGGGTTCTGCAAGTGGCTTAAGGGCTATAATTTAGATTAATGGGCACAAATGTTCATAATTAGCCAGAATACAGTCATGGTTCGTACATATGGATCAAGGAGTCAACGAAACGGTCGTCCGGAAGATCCGAAACATCCGTAAAAGTGGTCCATCCACAAAACTGATCCTAGAGCAAAGCAGTTTTTTTTTTCGAAAACACGTGGAACGGGATATAAGAAATAATTTGGGATCGTGACATAAACATGAACCGGATGGCTATGAAACCATCATTCGGAAGATTCGGAGCATTCGTAAAATTAGTAAATCTATGAAACTGATCTTAGAGCTCCGCGGTTTTTTCGAAAACACTCGGAACACTTCCTGAACATCCATCGTTTCATGGATTCACCACTTTTACGGATGTTCAGGATCTTTCAGAAGACGGACATCTGAAACCATGTTTAAGTCACGACCCAAAATTCTTTCTTATATCACAGTTCAAAGTGTTAAAAATGGAACTGCAGAGTTCTAGGATCAGTTTCATAGATTTACCAATTTAGGTTTGTTCCGGATCTACTGCTTTTACGGCTCTTCCGGCCACTTGGATGTTTATGTCACGACCCAAATTCATTCATATATCTCAGTTCGAAATGCTTTCGAAAAAAAAAACCGTGGAGCTCTAGAATCCGTATCAAGGTCCCCCCAAACTGGCGCGTTTTTAACGCGGCGGCAGCGAATAATTCGCGGCGGAAAATTCGCCGCGTTTTAAATGCATGGCGGCTTACAGAAGCGCTCAAACCAACGCGGTAAGTTGACGCTAATCGCGCGTTTTGGCAGCGTTTCCTTTGCGTTCGCTTTCGATTCGCTGTCTGCAGCGTTTTTGCCGCCGAAGAAGCACGGTTTTTGTACCGAAAGTGATTTTCAGGCGATAAAAAAATGGCAAAAACGGAAACTTTAATAGAATTGGTTCGAAACTATTTTTTTCAAAGATGTCTGAACTTGCAAATTTAATTTACTTCTCCATGAAATTTGATCAAGATCTCAGACTGAAATTGGAATTTCTTCAATATTTCCATCTACAAACCTCCCTGAATACCCCCGAAATTCTTCAAATGCTAGTAGAGCTTCTATGTAGTACCAAGAGCTTCTATAAAATTCCTTGCTCTACTTAGAATTCGCTCAACTTGTACAAAGATCGGTAAATTTGCGATAAACTCACTGTGCTTTAAAGAAGCTTCCGGAGGAGGAATCGAAGGTATTTGTGAGGATAGTTGACCACCCACGATTGCATTTTTAGTAGTATGACAAATGAATTCAAAGGTGTGTTCCGGAGAAGCATTTAGCCGAACTATTTTTTTCCTGAGATAATTCTTCTGGAATATCGGGAGAATACTAAAGAGCGAACTCAATAGACTGTCCGAGAGGGCAAAGTTCTTCGAAAAAATCTAAAAAGATACCAGCATTATCAGAAATTATCGTAAACACCCAAGACTTCAGTATGATCATTCTTCTGGAAATATTCAACAGCTCCACACACTACAGGTATGAAGTTTTTCACATTTCCCTGAAGTTCTACGAAATTCCTTGATATTCTATGAACTTCCTTGAACTTTCACAAATTCCTCGGAAGATATGTTTTTCAATCTTCAACTTGAATTTCTTTGATGATCTACAAACTTTCCTGAAGTTCTGTGAGCTTCCCTTATGTTTTGCAAATTTCTCTGATGATCTATCAACATTTCTGAAGTTCTGTGAACCCCTTTGAAATTCTGCAAAGTTTTTGAATATCTACGAATTTTTCAATTTCTGCAAATTTCTCTGAAGTTATGCGACTTCCGTGATGTTCTGTCTATGAAATTTCCTGAAGATCTGCAAATTTTTCTGATGATATGCATTCCAGGGGAAGTTAAGTTTTGTAATTTTTTCCTAAAGATTGACAAACTTTCCTTAAAATTACATGAACTTCCGTGATCACCAGTGGTGAGAAATCTTTAATATCAAACAAAACTGTAAACAAATTTCACTAAAATTAAGGAAATTGCCAAAATACTTCAACGCATTTTCCTCTGCTTGTAAAGAAACTAGCAAAAGCACCTCTACTTGCTCACGATCGCTACGACGCTCCGGTGTGTGTACCCACGCGACTTTCGCTACCGCGGTTAACGCGATTTATTCACTACCGCTGACGCGGCGTAAAAAACGCGCCAGTTTGGGGTGACCTTCATGGATGGACCACTTTTTCGGATCTTCCGGAGAACGGTCCCATGGTCATTCGGGCCCATGCTTATGTTAGGACCCCAAATTATTGCTTATAACACAGTTAGGATCAGTTTTATGGATTGACCATTTTACGGATGTTCCAGAACTTCCGGAGGTCCGATGGCCTTCTGGTACATGTTTATGTTACAACCCCCAATTAATTTATATATGACAGTGTGAAGTAGTTTCGAAAAACCGCAGAGCTCTAGCATCAGTTTCATAGATTGATTACTTTTACTGATGTTCCGGATCTTCCAGAGGACCGTCCGATGACAATCTGGTTCATGTTTATGTAACGACCCCAAATGCTATCTTATATCACAGTTCCTAATGTTTAAAAAAAAAAACATGGAGCTCTAGGATCAGTTTTGTGGATTGTCTACTTTTACGGATGTTCCGGATCTTCCGGAGGACGGTCCCATAGCCATCAGAGTCCATGTTTATGTCACGTCCCTAAATTCATTCTATCATCACAGTTCCTATTGTTTTTCAAAAACTGCGCAGCTCTAAGATCAGTTTCATAAATTGACAACTTTTACGAATGTTCCGGATCTTCCGGAAGACCGTCACATGGCCATCCAGGTCCATGTTTATGTCACGACCCACATTCTTTCTTATACCACAGTTCCTAATGTTTTCGAAAAAAACACGGAGCTCTAGGATCAGGTTTGTGGATTGACCACTTTTACAGCTGTTCCGGATCTTTCGAGGACCGTTCCACTGTCTCCTGGATCCATATGCAGGAACCATGACTGTATTCTGGCTAATTATGAACATTTTTGTCCAATAATCTAAATTATAGATCTTAAACCACTTGCAAAACCCATAAATACACCTTTAAAAAAACGTGTAACGACTCTCTTCACATTTTTATAAAAAGTAGACAACCCTATTTTCAATATTTTAACTATCAAACTAATCTACAGACCCTAGGAATTCTAGAGGTACCATACTTTTTGAAATTCATCTAGAAATAGCTATGTTTTGCTATCGCAAACTTGATGTTTGTTTTGATTCGCTATGAAAGTTTGACAGATAAAATGAGGGGTTCGTGGATTTTCCTATGTTTCGAGGGGTGCATCGATTAGCTTGGGACCGAAGATAGTACCATAGCTGAGCCAAAAAGTTGAGCACGTTTCTTCGGGACCTGCTGGTCTTAGAGTTACCTCTATGGTTATACCAACAATCAATACGAAACTATCGATTTTAAATTGGCTCACTACTTTACTAGTCTATTGGTCCCAAGCAAATCGATTAACGTATCCCATTCTACTATAAATTTCAGTACTACACTATGTTTGTTTTGATTCGATATGAAAGTTTGACAGATAAAATGAGGGGTTCGTGGATTTTCCAATGTTTCGAGGGGTGCAGCTTGGGACCGAAGATAGTACCATAGCTGAGCCAAAAAGTTGAACACGTTTCTTCGGGACCTACTAGTCTTAGAGTTACCTCTATGGTTATACCCCGTTCACATTACAGCGTATATCACGTATTACACGCTATCTTGCAATAAGCACTCATACATCTAGTTTTCACTGGAAATCCTATGTATGAGTGCTCATTGCAAGGCTGTCTATTACGTGATATAGGCTGTAATGTGAACGGGATATTAAGATGCATTTCGGCTGCACCAACCACTTGCGGTACAGCTTCCTAGCGCGGGGTTTTGCCACCATATTCAGTTTATCGGTTCGGTTAGGCGCCTTCCTTACCTTGAAGACATGGAGTCTGGTCTGCTTCATTGTCTACTGGACGAACCAGACGGGAGAATTTACCTTCTTGGCCACGTCCCGAATCGGAAGGTTCGGTTTGCGCTTGAAGTAATC